AGAGGCTGTGGAGGAAGGGGTACCCTCATCCATTGCTGGTGGGAATGCAAACTTGTGCAACCACTTTGGAAAGCAGTGTGGCGGTTTCTCAGGAAATTCGGGATCAACCTACCCCTGGACCCAGCAATGCCACTCTTGGGAATATATCCAAGAGATGCCCGATGATCATATGACAGGGGCATTTGTTCAACTATGTTCATAGCAGCATTATTTGTAATAGCCAGAACCTGGAAACAACCTAGATGTCCTTCAATGGAAGAATGGATGAAGAAAGTGTGGAATATATACACATTAGAGTATTATGCTGCGGTAAAAAACAATGACTTCTCGAATTTTGCATGCAAATGGATGGAAATAGAAAACACTATCCTGAGTGAGGTAACCCAGACCCAAAAAGATGAAAATGGGATGTACTCACTCTCAGCTTCTTAACTGAGGATTCAATGTGACCAGCAGCCTTATGGCTGGCTGCAGGACTTGCCTACCATGATGGACTCCACTTAAAATGTAAGTCAAAACAAATCCTTCGTTATGTAATTTGTTTTTCAGATACTTTTTAATAATAAGACTAGTAATTAATATGTTCAGTAAGACTGAACTTTTTTCTTCAGGTCCATGTTGTCATTATTAAAATATTTTGCTTGAAGTTCAATCCATATTTACCCTGCCTCCTGGTGACTTCCTTTCCTGTGCCTTTCCAAAACCTGACATGCATTTTATTCCATAAACATCTATCATACTATAGAACCCAAGTTCCAAGTCCACCATATCCAAGGATCCTTTATAACATTCCTGGTGCTCCTGGTATGTCCATCCCCCCTCCTGAACCCCCCCTCTCCTCATATCTCAATTCTGAAGCTGTTCTCGTTGACTCAGTACCCTTCTGTTTGTGCTAAATGATATTTGACACATCTGCCTCTTTTCTCCTGATGATGGTGGCAGGGTGGAGACTGATTTATATGCATGAGTCTAATTCCATTGTTGCATAAAATGTTTAATGAACAATACACTGAGAGAATTTGTGAATGAACTGGTAAGCAGACTTTAATTATTCTGATAATTTTATTGGTATCAATTTCCCAGTTAACTCACGATTTCTGTTTGTTTTGTAGCAATTTTATTGGCATCTAATTTATATGTCACAGTGCTCAACTATTTGAAGTGAATATCTCAAGGTTTTTTTTTTTTTTTTCCATGTCCTTCTGAATGTGGACCTCTCATAATTTTGGCAAGCATTTCTCCTGGAAGTTTTGGACAGGGCAACTGAAGAGCTTTAACTTAAGGATGAATAATGAATGAAGAGAGACAAGAAGGGAAGAAGGAAATGTGACATAATCACCTCGCTGCTGCTAACAACCGTGCTAACGTGAACTATGTGATGCCAATCACTAAGCGAGGAGAAGTGAACTTCTCAGTCAGGTTTGTTATATGTTTAATCTAGGAACACGGATGCTAATTATCTCAAAGTTTCATTTTTTACACCTTTTAATATATCCCTGTCTGAGCCCATTTTCTGCTACTATCCCAGACCACCACACACTGGGTAATTTGTAAAGAAAAGACATTTCTTCATTGAAGTTGCAGAGTGTGGGAAGTTTATGATCAAAGGGCTACATCTGTCAAGTGCCTTCTTATTGGATCTTACCATGGCAGGACGCGTGGTGTGGAGAGAGAGAACGAGGGGGCCAGGGAAGGCTGTTTCCCAACAGGCTACTTTTTAAAGCAAATCTACTCACACATAGTTTATCCACTGTAGAATAGGATCAAGAGGGACACTTGTGTCGTCTTAAGTGTACAGCCTTGTGATGTAAAGTTCCCTCTTCCCAACACATTCACAGTGGTAACTCACACCATCACAATTTTGCAGTGGGCATTCAAACCCAGGTAAGCCTTGTTTTTAGTGCTGGGGTCTGGGTTGGGTATTTTCAGGTTCTTGTTTTCATATCCAAAAATTAGAAATAACGGTTCACACAGATCTGTGAAAGAAGTAAGGTAACTTCATTTTGAACAAATGCAATGGTCCTGATTACAGATACTGCCAGGACTAACAGCAGGCTGCAGGAATAAGAGTTCTACTCATGGGCTCCGGGATATCCTCTCAGGTTTCTCCTTACGGGGTATAAAGGAAGGAGGGAATGACTTCTAAAGAGGTACAGTTTGGGTGGTTCTCTATTTTGTTTGTTAGATTGGGTTATATAGGTATTCCTGTTCTGTGTGTGTCCTTCCCCACAATGCCCTGATTCCAATAATATGTACTTCCCATTATTCACAGGATCCTCGCTAGAAGCTAACTAAGGGACACAATTATGTCTTATTGTGCATGCATACAAAAAATGCTCATACTGGAATATCCTTTCTACTTTTCATACCCAGATACATTGCAAATACACTTGAATAGAAACAACCACAATTTAGTTATTACCAGGAGAAGAGAAGATGATTGCTCAGAGATAGGAACATGCATAGCCAGGTACAAGTGGGAAGTTCAAGGCGCCAATGCTGTTTGGTGCATTTCTTGGAGGCAGTTGTGCATGCACAGCATGTGCATATGAAGGAAGCAGGCTGCTGGTAAATTATTATACAGGAGAGTGTGTGCCCCTAACCACATGGTGTCAGAAGTTCAACTGTCTCTTGTTGCCTATCTCAGGACTTTCCACACACTGTTACTTTCTCCTCGGCACAGCTGAAATTTGGAGAAGGGAGAAGAGGAGAGTTGTGAGAGGCCTGAAGACCTATCATCCTTTTCCAGATGAAGCCCTAAGGCTAGCTGGACAGCAGAGGTCTGAGGTAGAGTCGGGCTTGACAGCACAAAGGCAGTCCTCTCTGTTAGGACCTCGTTACTTTGGTTGCCTGGTTACTCTGGTTGCCAGGGAAGCTTTGGTTTTGTAGCAGTCTTGAACGAGTTGCATTTCTATATTTCTTCTCAGGACTAATTTCCTGTAATAGAAGTGAGAGAAGCATGCAGTGAATGAAGTTGAGGCACCATTGAGGGTCCAGTTTCTTTTCCCTCTGGGAACTGACGGGAGAGCTTGTGCCACAGATGCACTTTCATATGTTCTAGTCCTTGACTCATGGCTCTCTGTGAATTGAAGATGGCCATGGGCATGGTAGGGAGGAAGCAAGGTTCTCCCCTAAGACAGGAGGAGAGAGCGGAGCATCAAGCACAGTAATGTCCCAAAGGAAGGTCTTCTACAACACCTTACAGAAGATGGATGGGAAAGACAAACAGTTGCAAAGTAGTAAAGTAGAAAACCTCAGGCTCAAACTCACCAAAACTGACCGAAGACTATCCTTGGGTAGAGATTTACAATGTCACGGAGCATGGGAGTCATGAAGCTGGGCATGGAATTATATATACGAGGCAGAGTGTACACGGAAAAGCCCATGGTATGCAAATAAGGTAAAAATTGCACATTATGCAAATAAGCCAAACCCACTAAAGTAACATAAAAACTTAACATTTTGTACAGGAGGCAATGAAGCTACTGAACTCTCTCTGTTCCTGCTTAGTACCCTCCTGCTTGTGAGTGCGTTATCACATGCTAAACCAAGTTGGCTTCTAAAAGCTACTGCTTCACTCTGCTGGGCTCCCTGTTCAGGCACTTGAGAACCTAGAACCCTGGTATCAGCTGTGAGATCACCCCTCCCCTCTATCAGACCAAACTCTAAGTAAGTCCATTTTCTTTCGCCCATTTCTATTTCTTAGTTTCTTTGGGGTATACAGGAAAAGTGCAGCAGCAGGCTTATGAGCCTAAGTACTGAGTAACAAGGCCACAGACTTCAGAGCCTGAAAGCTCTGAGTATCTAAGGCAATCATTAGAATTAAAATTTTTATTCCTCTGCTTCATACTACAAGCAAAGATTGGTCTTTTAGCTACTTCTCATTCCAGAGGAGCAACGGTGTGAGTGCAGCCCCATCTTTGTCAAGCAAGATCAATTCACCCACGATCCCTGATGAGAAGCTGACAAGCTTTGAATATTCTTTAACAATCTCACATCACATTCTACTTAATGGTAGGAATCTAAGGAGAATAATTGAAGCTGAATTCCAACCATATTTTAAGGAATAATTAGCTCAAAGGAGGGGATAAAACAGTGCTAGAGCCCCCAACACCCATTCTGTTTCTCACATCCACTACCCACCACTTCCAAGAAAAATCCCGAATATGAAAGTTCAAGGATTAATGTAATTATTGGAATCTTGTGATGCTACCATCCCCCCTCGGAGTCTGGAGGTCAGTTTAATTTCTTGATGAACGGAATGCATGTTAAATTGAACCTCTATGAATTTGGGGAGTTGTCCACCAATAATTAGCAGCTTCTTAATTGTGTGGTAATGTCTGTGCCTCTTAACCTGACAATATTTAATTTCTCCCTTCCGTCATTTAGTGTTTGCCCTGTGCATTCCCATTTGTGGGCCCTTGAAAAATAAGGCGTCATTTATCAGTATTCACTCCTGTATCATGGGCATCTCGGCGTGCTTTTCGTTGTATTACTGACTCCATATCCGTCAGCATCACAGGTTCCTGCCACAGTTGTCAGGTACACTCTATTGATTGCAAGGCCATCTTTACCACTGTGCCACAAGGATCCTTTGCAGAACGGCTGGCTCTAAAGCAAAGTCATTCCCTCTGCAAAGTAGCAAATGAGCAGGGTGCTGCATTGTGTCCTCTATAAGCAATAATTGGCTGCTTTGCTATGCTTTGGCCCAACTCTGCCTAATTTGTAATGCACGAGGCTCTGTTCAAAAGAATAACATATTCCATTTCTGTTTACAGAACCAACGCGTGATGCAAAGTAAGATAGAAAATAAGATTGGTCCCTTATTGGTGATAATTATAGCAACAATACCGAGCAAGAGACGGAAGGGTTAGATAAAAGCAAATGAACTGATTTTTTAAATCGAGTTTACTAGATGTAATCATGTAACAAAGTACAAATCTTTTAGCTGTTCAATTAAAACTACCTTATTTTTCCCAATAATTTAGGAGTCCACTTTTATATTACTTTGCATAAAGATTTCAACCAATTTCCATAAATTTGCATTTTTGTTCAAAAAGCCCTAACGCCAATTATGTAAAGTAAATGTAATTAATTAGTACATTCCATAGCAACTGCGTTTCAGTCTCCTTTGTTTGGACTTGGAGACATCAGAATGCCTGAGCATAGGAAACCCTGGGTTGGTCACCAAGAAAAGTCCAGCCTCCTCCTTGTTCCAAAATAGAAGTTAAGATGGGGATTCCAGAAAGATTCATATACATGTATCTATTTGGAATACTTAAGAAGCTTCATTACGGTAAACCTAATTTGATTCCAAAAATAAACTGAATGATCTTGGAGTGCCAACATTATCATCTGAATGGAACCTCACTTTGCAATTTAATTCTCAAGACAACTTGGTCATAATGGTAGTCCTCCTTCTGAGTTTCCCAGTACATCCCTCTGCCAGAAGACAGGTGAGAAGTCTCATGCTGTCCTCTGAAACTCTGTTCTCTATTTCAGGGTTTCTTCAGGAAGCTCCTGAAATGTATTGTCTTTTAAATATGCAGGCCTGATGTTCCTCACTGTGTGTGTTCATTTAATCTTTCACTGAAAGCGTCTTTCTTGCAGGCCTACGGTGTGTGTTTGCTAATGTGAAACTGTTAGTTAGACACTAACAGTCTGAAGGTCTCTTTTTATGTATTTGTTAGTCCTTTTTTGTTTTGTTTGTGTTTTTTTTATACGTTTTTTCCCTGTGTAGCCCTAGCTATCTTGGAACACTCTTTGAATCAGTATGGGGCATCCAGGCTGATATAGCTGGAGAAGTAGCTGAGGATCCTATACCCAGAACCACAAGCAGCAGGAAGTGAGCAAGGTACTAGGTCTGGCTTGGGCTTTTGAAACTTCAAAGCCCACCCCCAGTGACACACTTCCCACTTCTTCCAACAAGGCCATTCCTACTCAAATAAGGCCACAGTGTCTAATCCTTCTAAGTAGTGCTGCTCTCTAATGACTAAGTATTCAAATATATGAGCCTGTGGGGACCATTCTTATTCTAATCACCACAGAGACCTAGAACCAAATTACTCTGGCTATTCTTTTAGCCTCCTTCACAGTCATTCCATTGCCCATCTCTGTATATCTCACTCATCATCCTGGGACTACCACATGAAATTCTGGGGTTATATTAACTTAGCAGACCACTAGCTTCTACTAACCCCAAACCCAGATTGTCATCAGATAGCATCTGAAGCCTATAGTAGAGCTTTCTTTAGTTGGCTACATTGGTGTTTCTACCAATCATTTACAACATGTCTTGATTTATGACTTTCTTTTTTATAGCTATAAAATCTTTATGAAACTCTTACCACATTGTAACATGGAATTTAGGGAAATCTGAATTTGTGTTTCCATACTAGGGTCATTCATATTTGACTCTAAACTCTTTTCTTCCCTTTAAGGTAAACGTTGAGATTTTTATTATGCCATTGTTTATACCTTAAATACATTTTTTTCATAAATGTCTTCATAGTACTTAAGTATGTATTGTTATCAGTTGCCATTGACTGGGAGCTAGGGGTGCATGGTTCCTTTCTTGATAAACATGGAGATTGTTTGAATTTGAAAACATAAGCATAATATTCCTTTGCATGTGAGTGCCACATTTTGCCTTACGCTTTCTTTCAGTTAGCATTGATGGCATTGTGAGGACTGGCTGGCCCTGGGGTGGTAGGCCATACAGCTGGGCAGAAACATCCACACCTATACTCATGGGACTCCCTGCCATTCTGCATTTAGAGTATTATTTGAAAGGATGACAGGTGGCTGTGCAGCTCCCAAATTCAAGTGCTCTAAAGGCAGAGATGTCTTGTGCTTTAAATGGAACTGTTATGTAGATCGAGGCTGAGGACTATCAGGTTGGGAAAGTGTTAAACAAACAAACAAACAAACAAAACCCCCAAAAATCCTGACCTAGTTACTTGTGCTTTCTGGGAAGCTGTATATAGGATTAAGTATTGCCATACTTCCTTGGTTTATTCTTCATATTAGGGCCAGAGGTTATCATAATTGTTGTTTCCTATAAAGCAACTGGTTCACATAGAATTTTTATCTTCAATATTTGTAAGATCCTCATTTCTCATGGTATTAAGTTAGCAAAGGTATTAAATCTATTATATTTCCAACTCAATAGTATATATCAAACTCCTTTAAGCCCACTTCTGGTAAAACTGATTGCTTAGAAATAGTTGATAGTTTACACACACCCTGGCAAGACAATGGTGGACCAAAAGCTGTGGACCAAATCCTATGAGACACTGGGCTGCATTACTCCTCCATTTTCTCTCGCCATATTCAGTGGAAGAAGAACTTCTCAGCAGAAAAGGACTTTAGGACTTCCAAGTGAAGAGGAAGATCTGTGTCACCCGAGACAGCTCAGTACTCCATGTCCATTGCATCATCACCTGGATCGTAAATCATTTCTGTGCTGAGTTCTGACTGGGTCGTGAAGAAGCTAATTTTTCTATAGGAGAGTATGTCTTACATATGTTAACCAACTCCTAAAGAAAGAAGATTTCTGACAGTGAAAAAGTATTTATTTGGGTGAGGCTCTGGTTTATAAAGGTGCTTCTTAAGAGGCTTAAGTCTCAAGAGTTGGTCGCTGTACCTACAAACTAATTCATCTAGATTCCAATCCACTGACCAGATAAGAAACGTTCCTAGTGAGGGAGAGTATTTGATGCATCAAGGTGTAGTTCAAGTAGATACTTTGGATGAAAATATCATTTCTATATAGCATCTAATTTCACAATATAAAGAGGACATCATTTACATTTTGGCATGTATCCCTCTTATTTATCTGTCTACTCTTTTATATCCTAATTTATGGAATAGCTTGCATCTTGGGGAAAGATAATTTAAACGTGTTTTTCTTTTCACACCATTTCCTTTGTGAAATT